CAGTCTCTTTTGAGTTTCCTTTCTACGAAAATTTTCGGGTTGAAATAATGTTTCAAGCGAATGGTTGATATTGGTAACGTTCACGAAAAAAAAAAGCTCAATATTTTATGACTGAAGTTTTCAGATGGTCTAAGAATTTTTAACTAGGAAAAATTGGATCAGTGAATTCGTATTCTGGTTAAGATGGATTAGATTCCTTTTGCACTAAACTCTTTAGAAAGAATTCTGTCTCATCGGCAATTATGTTGAAGGTGATATGGTGAATAGAAGTCTTTGTTTTTTACGCAGTTTATATTTGGACTACTGTTTTCATCCTGTCGTTGTTATCGGTGTATATTGATCTGGTTAACCTACAGGAAAATCTGAGCTGAATCCTTCATCTAATCTACGGTGGTAGAGTATTCTCGTTCTACAGCTCATGACTAGGGATTGCTTGTCTAGTTGACAGTTATTGCTCGTCCGTTTCCATCGAGTCCCCGTACACACTTCCCGGCCCAGGGATTGAACTCACAATTACTATGTCACCAAAGTCACCTACCGACGCTTTAATCCACTAGGCTATTGTCCCGTAGTTCAGAATTCTCAGATTGATATACACCTGATGAAGATCGGACACAACAGCCGAAACCTTGTGATAGCAACAACAAAAACGTGGACAATAGTCCTAATGTAAATAGAGTAAATAAGAATAACTCCACATTCCAGAAATTCAGGCAGAAAGAAGTGATTGTATTTAAATAAAATCAACAGCCAAAGATTTTTTTTCTATAGCACGTGTTCCTTCATGACTTGGGTAATCATAGCTTTCCACAATGTCCTATCTCTTGTAACCCTTAGCAACGTTTGTCCCTTTGCCAATACTCCCCCTCCGTTCCGATATCTATTCACACAAGCTCGTCAGTTAGGTGACACTGTATCTTCCCCTGTCCCTTTTCCTACTATATGTCCTGTAAGTGTTCAATTTTCCAAATGATAAGTTAGTTATAGTTTCTACAAACGGTGTCCAACTCGGCTGTTCATATGGGATTAACAAAAAAATAGGAACTAGGAAAATCTGTATGATTAAAATGTTGCCAGAATTGATGAACAATAAGAAATCTCAACTTGATTAACAAAATAAATGAAGTGTGTTTTTTTTTCAAAATAATTATGGTTACTTTTTCGAAGTAAGAAAATTCGGATTTATGCCTTTTCAAGAAACACTAAATACTCGGAAAATTTTGTTTCATGGAGAATATTGAATTTCAATTGGAATTGCGTGTCGCACTTTAGCAATAATGACGATGAACCCAATACGTCCAGTGTTTTGTCATTTCGCCGGCTATTTTAACCATGGATAAGACGCCGATTCGACACAACAATAGACAGAGAAATGAATTATTAAATGACAATGTGTGCATATAGTAATATTAGCCGTTTCCCTAAAATGAAACATTTGACATTCCTTGATCGAGCAGACAGTATTACTCTCGGTTGAAATTTAATAAAAACTGTTCTGAGGGTGAATATTTCCCTACAAATTTGGATTCAGCCGTAGGACGAAATACATAAAAATACTCCTACATCAAGAGGAGTAGCAGGAGGAGCAGTAGCAGCAGTAGCTTTTGATGAAAATGGTTAGTCATTCACGACTAAATATTCTCTTCCCTATTCTACATTGTGTTTCCCTGCACCAAAAAATAATAAGCCTGTTAAACCAATTCCGGTTTTCTACTGTTGTTTTTGATAACACAGTTTCAACAAAAATCTTTCTCATAAAACAATTTTTCAGGAAAATAGGTTTCTCAAGTCCACTAGCTATTATCGCTCTTTCCAGTATTGATGAGAGTTTCTTTTATTTGAAGTAGTTGGAACGTTAACATCATAATTATGACATTATTTTCTCTTTGAATTTCATGCGTTATCCATACACCAACGCTGTAACGAAAATGGCTGATATATACATCGCCAGTCTTGAACGAAGGTTTTAAGCTCTCCTTATTTTAATATGATTATATATTTTTGCGTCTGTTTGTATGTAAGCATATGTATGTGTCTTGTGTATATGTTAGCGCGAGCGTGTTGCGCACAAACGTGCTGTTTTCCAGATTCCCTTCGATCCAAACTCTTTAAGTAAAATCTCGTTCTCTTTTTCTTTTTTTTTTTTTTGGATGGTTATATTTCAAGTTTCATTCCAAATGTAATGCTTAACATTTGAGGACGCGGCCTGCTTTTCCAACTGCCAGTCACATTAGGAACATCAGCAATATAAACTAGTTTGGAGAGAGACAAAAAACAAAACGAAAGGAAGCGGACAGCAATATCACGGTCCATTTCCAAGTAGTAATGTACGATCCCTCATCCAATCTTAGTCAGAACCACAGCGAAAGAGTTCCGCATGGAAGAGTGTGAATATTAAGAGCGCAGGTGTTCTTCCTTGACCATCTGCCTGACTGGAGGTCATTTATATTTTGACCCTAAAGTTGTAAATCCTATCTTTTTCTATTTCTTCTTAGATCAGTTTTTGTTCGTCTTTCACTTTAAATTACTTTATGACACTTAATTCTCCAGCACAAATTAAATATCATTAATTTTTATTCTTATTTTGTTCGTTTGAACTTAAATCTCTACTATTTGTGTGCGAGCGAACGCGTGTTTATGGGAAAGCTATATACTTGTCTAAATCAGAGCAAGACTCAACATTTCAAAACACGGCAATCGTCGAAGGTCTGAAGGTGTGTGGTTGAAAGATTGTGATAAAGCAAAACAAATTATTCTAAGCAATCTTATATACAATGTTTACTTTTATGTTTTCATTTTGGATGCATTATTGTCATCATCTTTAACTTTTCTATATACTACTAATATATACAATCATAGATTGTTTTTTTAGTAAGAGATATAGATACACACACATGCGCACGCGCGTACACACACATGTTGTATTTAAGCAGCAAGAATTCAAACAAGTTTATTATATTCAACTAATAACATATGCCTAATTAATTTTATATTATATTTTTTCAAAATTCCGAATACGATGTTGTATATTGAGATTCAAATTATCAATAAGCTGTATGTTGTCAGTATGGTGAACAATATTTTCTGACTAAATAATAGGAGGAGATAGGTTTACCTATCATCTGGTTTATTTTCCCCATCCCCATTTATCTCTTGTTCCTGTTTCGAGTTTGATTTCCGATTCCTTCCAAAGTCTTCTCATTCTCTTTCACTCCCAGTAACCCTTTAGCGTCTTAATAGCATTATTGCCTTGTTTAGAGTGAAAAAATTAAAATAAAAAAAAATCCTGGTGTGTTTAGATTTTTTAAATTGTAAATGGAATCACTTCAAAGTAAAATCATATGTAACAAGTAAATGGAAAAACATGTATCGAATATTTATACCTGTTTTACATGTATTAAATATATCGTACGGATATTAAATATTTTTGCCCACACTTCAATATATTATCAGTTGTGGAGAAATATAATTTATTGAATGTGGGTTGTTTCTTTTGTGTGTATGTATATATACATGAGTTTACTTAAAAGCCACAAACAAGATATGTCGTTATTTTTTTAATTAATATTTTTCGTTTTCGACCAAGAGAACACAAGCCTGTATTCAGTCAGCCTAAATTATGTCCAACAATTCAACTATAATCCTCAATAAATTAAAGAACATAAACTATGTGTATTAATAGCTTTTTCTCTATTTAAAATTATATATATTGTTTAAATTTTGCTCTATTTATAGGGGAAGACTGTTCATTATAGGAAGTTCTTACATGTAGTCAGTGTGGTCAGTGGTATCAACACTGTTGGGTCTGTCAGGCGATCTTCAGACCTTTAGCGGGAGTAATCACATATAAACTGGAGAATGATGAAAATCTTTTGGTTCAACACACTTCCAAATATCAATATTCTGATGTGATGTTTGATTATTAAAATACTTATTATTTATCACCTGTCTAAAAGCGTTGATTGATTGGCCCCAAAATTGACTTGACCCAAAGTGTTGTGAGTTAAATCCCTGGCCTCAGCGGAGAGAACAAAAACTTAGAGAGTTTTCAAGGCATGGCACGTACAATTACAGCAGTTTACCCCCGCGGACTGAATAAAGGGTTCAGTTCGACATTCCAACAAATATCACCTGAAAAAGGCCGGCGCATACAACGGCCGAAATGTCGTGAATGTGACACTAAAGATGAGGACAACAGTCAGAAGAATGTAAATAGGGTAAAATTATTATTTATTTCACCTTGTTTTTCTCACCAGAAAATAAATGGTGTGAAAATAAAAAGATGAGCAAAATTTGGCGAAGGTAGGAAAAAACATGAAAACAACAAAAGTCAGGAAGTTGTGGAGTGACATGATCGCATCTGGTATATAAAAAGAAAAAAAATAATAATGAGAAGCAGAAAACTTGAAAAGTTTTCCATCTCGATGGCTGGAAAACAGAGATATAAATGGAGGAGGGAAGGGGAAAGAGGGAGGAAGAGGAGGGGGAAAGAAGAGGAGAAGAGATAAAAGAGTAGGTGCGGAGTAGAGGAAATGGAGGAGAAAAGGCTAAAGTCAGAAGAGAACAAAAAGAGAAAATATGCTATAAAGATGTGAATACAAAATAGGAAAATATGAAAAACAAAACAAAAAACGATGAACAATAAGTAGAAAAGGCTGTACAAGTTGGTTGAAAAGAAAAGTTAAAACTTGTCTCTTTTCTTCGACAATTTCTTCTTGAATTCATTCGTTCTTTATGCTTCTTGCTTTTATTTTTTTATATATATAATATTTCCGCATCAAACGAAAGGGGAGAATAATGTGGCCAAGAATGGAGGCCAACTGATTAGAGTAATATTTACAGACAAAAGAGGGGACCACCTCATTTTTTTTATGTCAGAGATTATCGCCCGTCCGTGACATAACCCCAACCGCCAGCCGAGTAGCGGCACTCCTTTATCTCGATCCTACACTGCACCATTCTTCTTGCCACATTAATAACATTGTACTGCACTCTCAAATATGGTTCAGCGCCGTCGGTTTTTTCTTTTACAGGACACATGTTGTCACTTCGGGGGTGGTCTCTGTTTCCTCTCATACAGTTTAGAAACGCTCTTCTTATTCTTCTTATTATTATTATTTGCAAAACTGATAATTTTATAGACCGGTAGTATTTGTTAAATCTTGGATATAAAGTGACACCAAGACTCATCAGTGCTCCAATGCTTGCATCAGTCTTAATTGTTTTCAGTAATATTCACCCAATACAAGGCTTTGTAGCGTTCATGGAAGCATCCAGGTGGGAGTCTGTTCTACAAAACAACCGTTCTTGGAAAAAAAGCTATTTGAGTGGAACTTCTTGACAATTAGAATGCAGAACGAATGAGAATGGTTCGCTTTCATGAACTTAGTATGGTGGGTCTTACATGTAAAGGTGTGAACTGATGGAGCTAAATAATAGAGTTCATTCGAAAATTTACCATGGCGTTAGACTAGCGATCGACTTCCTTATGACTGATCTTAGTAATACTATCCTTTGGATGATTTCACTTCTTCCTCGCATCTCTACTTTTCACAATTAATTTGGCTCTTCAGCCTTATTTTAAGCTCTCCGTTAATGATGGCTGCATTTTTTCCTTTTCTTCTTTTTTCTGATAATATCCAAGTATTTTCCAACTACATTTCACTTTTACACTGATATCTTCTCTCTGACATAATTCTTTTCTTTCTTTATGATAACTATATGTGGTTCCATGGCCTGGGTTGAATATCAAATCATTTTTATTGTGTAAGAGAGCAGCACGCTAAAAATATGACACTGATATACAAATATACGAACTCCAATATATCCATCATGATACCCAGTCTAAAATTTATACCAGGTACATGTATTCAGAGCCACATGTAGGCGACGTGGTGATAGGTTTTCATAAATGCGGTACATTGCAGGTGGGGTTGTTAGAAATATATTCCGATCGAATAGCCCAATTTGCTCAGATGGTCCCCTATTGAGAGTGTTCCTTACTATCGAGATATGACCATTCAGTCGTCTTGGCTGCCTTATATTTCACACTTAAAAAAAGAAAAGTCTCAACAACCAACCATAACGCTCTTATGGTAACTCCACTCATGAAAAGAGACGTAGTATGTGTCAGCCCCTCGGGTATATGCCCAACTGGTTATGGTCAGGCAAATGGTAGACAAATCTCTGGGACCGAACAAGATATTATGATAGCCCATTTTAATTCATTAAGACAAAATATAAACATTTTACCACCTCCAATCAGATCAAAATCATGAGAGACATTTCTATTTTTTTCTATAATTCGGATATTATTAGTAGTAGTAGCTCGCTACCTATAGCTTCGCTGACGGTAAGGTGAGAAAATTTCAAATCTAAATTGTCCATTTATAATACTACATTTATTAAAAACACATTCAGTTTAAATACAGAAGTCATAAAAAATTGATTTAAAGGGATTGCTGCGAGCAAAAAATCAGCTTTATTATTATTACTAATATTAAAATTATTATTATTACTTCTTTTTCTCTTCAGATGTTTTTGTATATATGTATCATTATGTACCGTCTCTCTTTAGAACGTAATCGATCATGGCTTTCCACATCTTCTTGTCTTTTGTGGCTCTTACAAATATTTGCTTTCTTACTATCCTTACCGCTTCCTGTTCTGAAATCCATTTGTACAAGGTCGTTAGGTAGGTTATTTTCTGTTTCCCTTTATTTCTCTTGCCTTTATTATGTCCTGTGAATATCAGATTCTCCAAGTCTTCTTTATGCATTATGTGTCCTAGAAATTTCAACGGACTCTTTATGATTCTAATATAAGCGCCCTATTATTTCCGTTTTCCATAAAACTTTCTTGTTGCTCACATACTCCGTTGCTATAGTTTCTCTTTTGGTTCATCTGAATTTGTGAACCATCTGCATGTAACATGTTCTTTGTGATGTGATATTTTTTGATATGGCTGCTCCTCTTTGAAAAATATTTCATTCGATAATTATTTAATCAGTACGCGTCTGTGAATATCTTCTTTCTTTTAGTGCCACTGATATTTGAAGCCATACATTAAAGTTTAGAAAAATAATTTGACTTTGTTCAAAACTATATTTTAAATTCAGTAGTCATTTAGGATTTGCGAATAACGTAAATGTTATCGGTGCAGAAAGTGAAATTAAAGTTCAAATCTCGGCTTAGTCTCTTGTGTTCTCTTTCGTACGAATACCAAAGACATGGATCAATTACTTAACCCTAACTATGGATTAAATAGAAGGATAAATTAGGCTCTCTAATCTTGGATTGCAGCCAGACTGTAGACAAGAAGACATCAAGAAAGAATCTGGAGATCTGTGGTTGCCTCCATCTTGACATTGCATTTAAAAGCAAAATGAATTTGATGCTAATTCAGCGTTTACTTTGTAAAATCAGACACAAGATACAAAGTTATCAAAGTTTGTCACCAAAGTCTTTTTGAATTTTTGTCGTTAGCGTCTTAAAGAAGTTAGAGCAACAACACACGAAATAAAAAATGCATCTTAATTTAAAGAGGCTAATATTATTCCATTGACTGATTCCTTATGAAACTTGCAGAGATTCCGAATCTTTGCGATATAAGAAGAGTAATGGAAACGTAATTTAAAGAATTTAACTAAAGAGAATATCTTCCTTTAAAATATTCTTCTCTTTTTCTCTCCTTCCTTGACGACAGTATCATTTAAATTTATTTTAATTTGAAGCAAAATAACCTTGTTATGTTTAAATAACGGTTTGGCAAGATAACAGTATTTCAGAGTTCTTGAGAATATGACGTTGCATGGTTTCATTGAATGTCACCATCGTTATCATCAGTAATATCATTATCCTATTACCATAACCAGGTGTGGTCGTAGGGGTCACTGTGCAGCTGATTACCTGATCATTTTCCCTTCACATAGGGTTACAAGACAGAGAGATATTCCTTCATGCGTAGCGCGTCTTGGACAAGTAGATTTGGCGGTGTCCAACCATCCCCAGGTTAAACCAGAATCGATGTCCTCGCCTTGGCTACGGACACGTGGTCGTTGTCTTATTCGGGAGAACAGTCCGCTCTGGCCGTTGACTTGTGTCTCGAAAAACTCTCCGCCAATCAATGCCATGACATCACCGCACTAGCCGCATGCATAGTTATACAGCCGAGTCTACTCTTTGTTCTAGATTGGGATTGTTTTTACTCCGGCTGAGTTTTTAGCAATTCTCCTCTCCCAAAACTCCTTCTGGGGGAAAAGGTTTAATTGGCGGTGACCTGTCTATGTGACAGGTAGTACTGAGTTACTTGCAACCAGTAGAACTCTTAAAATAACTTGATACGAACTATATATGGTATAGATATTGTCAATATGATTAATATTTGATCTGTGGCTAGTCTGGTATTTTTTGACGAGAGCATCAATGTGTTTTTGATAAAGTGATGCGAAACTTGCATGTTCTCTGAAAGAAGTTCTTCCTTTAGAGTACCGAAAATGGTACACACACTCTAGGTAAGTAGTTAGGTACGAACAAAATATAAATATAGATAAAGAGCGAAAGAGGGTGAGGACATTTTCTATGTTTGTATTGAGGAGATATATGATCATAGCGGTCATGTATCTTGATCGTTTCTTTCCTTTCGATAAGTATCAGTGCTGAAAGGTGTGGATGGAATTATATGATCGGTTAGAAGAAGTTTGGTGAAGGTTTTCATTTTCAACGCAGGTGTTCAGCAAAAAAAGGCAAAAGACAACCTAGATTAACCGAGGAACGTTCGGCTGGATTAAGCACCATATATTACGATACATATTAGCATTTGCGAAGGATTATTTTCTCATTAAAGCTATTTTCTTTGACAGGCAAGAATTACCACAAGAATGTTTCAGAAGCGATCATTGTCGTTTGTTTGCAGGAGGTCTTTTTGCGTCTGTTTTCTCATGCGTATATATATATATATATATATGTGTGTGTGTGTGTGTGTGCGTGTCTGTGCGTGTGTGTGTGTGCATCCGTTTGCATGTGTGGTAACCCGATATACGATCTATACATATTCTGGAAAAGTTTTTTTTTTAATTTTTTCTTGTGGTTATCAAACTTATCCAATATCTTGTTAAACTTTTCCTTTTCAAACGTTACATTTTTTTTACTGTTTACCTTTCCTTTACCAAATTACAATCATTTCGCGTATAAATATAGAGCCATGTTCCAAATTGTATGTTTTACTAGCAATATTGCTGCAAAATCCTAAAACGAAGATTACTTATTTTAAATAAAATTTCAAGCTTTTCAGTTTCATAACAGTCGAAGTTTCTTTATTTTTACCTTCAAGTTTTTTTCTTGTCTTCAAACTAAGATTTTTATTCCGAGTCCTTATTGCTTTTCGTTTTTCAACTTTATATTTTAACTCGTTTCTATCTATCTTATCTATCTATCTATCTATCTATCTATCTATCTATCTATCTATCTCTCTCTCTCTCTCTCTCTCTCTCTCTCTCTCTCTATATATATATATATATATATATATATATATATAGGTAACTATACTCGTTTCGAAAAAACTTTGAATTTTGATTTGCCAATAATCAAATCAATCTCGAGGAAAAAAAGGTTTTAAAAAAAAAAGAAAGAGCTAGAAACATGAAAGTCTGTCGAAAAAATCGCACAGATACAGGTTTAAAGCCCAAAGAAAAAAAACCCGACACGAGTAAACAACTAACTAAAAGAGCTCAATACAACCGTAGAGCAGACCTAGATAAACCTAGTGAGCCAGACAAACCTACCCAGGTTTCACCTAAGCGAGTCGCTTTCCCTAACGATCGCTTAGGTGAAACCCAGGTTTGTCTGGCTCACTAGGTTTATCTATCTATCTATCCATCTCTCTCTCTCTCTCTCTATATATATATATATATATATATATATATATATATATATATATATATATATATATCTTCATAATCTATCTTTCTGTTTATTTTCATAATCTATATTCATAATCTATCTATCTATCTATCTATCTATCTATCTATCTATCTATCTATCTATCTATTCACATTTTAAGTCTCTTCATAATCTATCAGTGTTGCCGATTTTTTTCTCCTCTATCTTTTTATCGTCCCGGTCAAAATTGACTGTTTTTTTTTTTTTATTTCTCTTTACCCTTCGCTTCTATGTCCCCAAAGTTTTTTTTCTTCCTCAAACACACAAAAACAGATTGAAGGGTTTTTATTTTCTGCTTATTCCTCATTCAAAACTTCCTTTAAATCCCTCCTATCCTGTTCTTCTCTTCACTTTTCCACTGTTCTTGTATTTATCTCTTTAACTCCTTACACTTTCTCTCCTTCCATCACTTTCCGAATCTTTGTCTCTATTTTGCTTATCTTTTTTTGTCTTTTTCTTTTCTTTCCTTATCTATCTCCAAGTTCTACTTCTTTTTGTAACGTATAGTTCTCCTTTTATTCCGCCTTTTAACGCTTTATCTCATTCTTTTCGTGTTCTTCACTTTTACTCTTCTTTCTCTTTTTCGTACTTCATCTTAGTCTTCTATCCTTTGCGTCGAACAAACACCTCAACGTGGGCTTCCAATTGTAAATGGTGCTACAATCTGCCCTCTATTTAACGTATATCAGATTTCAAAGAATTTGCTTTGCTCACCGAATTAAGTGGCTAATGTCCCATAACTCCAATTGACGCAGATAGTTTTAAAATAGGCTTATTTTCTCGTTAAACGCCGTTAGCAGCTTCACTGCAATGTAACCAGCCAATCCACACCGCTCACTCCCATCACATTACCAACAACAACAATATCACACCCGAACGAAAAGAATTAATGTACAGTTTCAAAATTGTCTCTCATTTATGATGAGCGACAGTGTTTTTAACAACATGAGGAAAGAAGCAAAAACACTTTTGGTAGGGGAAGAGAAAAAATGTTACTAATAATGGTTTGGGTGGAATTTGAGATTGAATAGCGACCAGAGATCCTTAAAGTTCTTTGGCCTACAGCATAGAATTCAGCAGACGGAGTCTGACAGCGATCGTGACATTTGTAAAAAAAAAAAAAAAAAAAGTACTCGAATGGAAAAGGGTTAAATAGAAAAACTTGTCAATTCTAGATGCCTCTCCCCAGCTCCGTAATCGATTCATGGAGAGTCGAGAATTCCGAGCCCTGTGGGAGCTGACCAACACTCCTTCAACTATCCACACCGTTAGAACAAGTGTTAAAGTGTTTTTCCAATAACGATAGAAAACAATTTACAAAGTTTGAGGAGTGGGGTCATATTTTCTTCACTCTTTCTTTTTCTCCTTTCTGTTTTTACTTTCGCTAAATCGACATGATCGCTCTCAAATCGTCTTAGGCGATCATCAGATCATAACATCAAATACAGCATCAAACCATAACATCAAATACAGCATCAGACCATAATAGCAAATATGGTAATTTTTTTAAATATATATATATATATATATATATATATATATATATATATATATATGTATGTATGTATGTATACGTATATATATATATATATATATATATATATATATATATATATATATATATATGGATAAGTTGTATGGATATGAGTTTGAAACCGTGGTTTTCACGCTTTTACGATCATCAGACAAACTGGTTTATTTTTTTAAATTGGATCTATTTATGCGTGCTTGACTATGTTTGGTGTCGGAGGGGGGTCTACTTAGGTGTTTGTTTGCAGTGGCACTATCATACGCATAGACACATACATACAGGTGTACGCATATATATATATATATATATATATGTGTGTGTGTGTGTGTGTGTGTGTATGTTTGTATTTATTATTATTATTATTATTATTATTATTATATATTAAGCAATATATAGAGCCTTGATGGGCTTAAAGATAATTAGCCTTTAATATAATATTTTTTGTTTATATATAACATTAGACTGGAACTTTACATTTTTACCTTTGTGCACCTATTTTCCTCGATTTTGAGAGGGGACCGATAAAACGGTTTAGTTGTTTTAAATTATTATATTTCAGTATTACCAATTTACGATAATATATAATTTGTTACCTCACTTTTTTGTTATGAATGTTTTAATATATCTGTTTTTACTCCTGTAATAAAAATTTTGTGCCACTGAGAAATATTTCAGTGTATATATATATATATGTGTGTGTGTGTGTGTGTGTGTGTGTGTGTGTGTGTGTGTGTGTGTCAGGCATCTTCAGGCTCTCAAGGAACACAGTTCTCTATAGCTTTCTTTTTTATTGCTCTAAGTAAAATTTCCTCTTTTATGAACTTTTTCTTTGTGGTATTTTCATCATCCATTTACTCCAACATGTCAAGTAATTTATCCAATCTATTTCTCGGCTTTTCTGGTCTTCTGTGTATCCTGTGAGTATTAAATTTTAAAACCTTCTTTCTACATTATATGTTTACAAATGTTCAGCTCTCTGTTTTTTTTATCGCTGTCATCAGTTTTTCCATAAAAATTCCTCGTTTGTCACATACTCTGTCTATGGCATTTTTGACATTACTCAGAAGAATCACATCTCACTATTTTCAAGTTTTTTCTTCATTTGTGATGAAATTGTCTAAAATTCCCTGCCATATTGAAGGGTAGACATTAAATAGAATTCCAACAGTCTTTTCTTCCTTTCAAATGTTAGTCTTTGATCCTTTAATACTTAACTCATTTTCTAAAAAGTATCATTCGATATTCCTATGCTCCTTCAAATTTATGTGTCACACTATCCGTCGTCTGTTATTACATTCCCCAGATAAATAAATCCTGACACCTGCTTCCTTCTGAAGCCCCCTATATATAACTTCTATTTCGGAATCTTCTTTTTTCTGACAAGCATGTATTCCAATTTCAGGCAATTAATAGTTAGTCCCTTCTTCTTGCTTTCCTCAACTATCTTGTCTATGCATGTTGAAAGTAAATATCAGGAGTAGAGGAATACAGTTTTTTTGCCATATCCCTTCAGAACGTATGCAATAATGGCTCTTCCACGTGTTCCTTTTTTTCTTTATTATCTGTGAATTACCGTTCAATTTTGGGAAGCATAAAGATGTTTCCTCTTGCCTTCCCCAGAATTTGGCTTTCAGAGTAGTCATTGACTGTCATGCAACTATTTAACCTATCGCTGGAGGAGTAGACACGGATTTATACTTCTCTAGACTGGAATTTTAACTCGGTTCTCCGATTCCACGTCCCACATCAATAGTTGTTATTCTAACCGCACAGTCCAGTATACTGTACAGAATGTTATGAAAATTAATGACAAAGTAGGAAAAATTTTCGTGACGGAACACCTAACACAAAAATCTTTTCCACTTTGTCATTAATTTTCTTCACATTGTGCTGGTAAATTCCTCTATCATAGTCTCCAAGTACAGGATGTAAAAATGAAAGCCAGATAAAGTTAAAGTATATATTCACCTTGAGGCTGAAAAATTTATTATAATTACATTGATCCTTCAGCACGCATCTATTACTTCTATTAGAGGTACGGAGTATAATGGATAGTGGCTCGGAGTAAGGAATTGTAGAGCCGAGTTCGAATTCCAATCGACTTCTCTTCATTCACTTATATGCTAATAAGTTTAGGAAAAGGTATGAATCCATCTCTTATCACCAGCTATGATTAAATAAAAGGACAGATTGTACCCCATGTCCTTGGTTGATAACCAGAAGGAAAGCTCTGAATTCAAATAGAGGCTGTTTTACCATTGCTGCAATATATATAGTGCCCCTACGACTCTAAGAGTTACAGGATTCCTGATCGTGATTAATACCAGTAACCACACGGTCGGAATTATTGTAATGTAACGTAAGAATAAACATGATGTTAAGAATTCTAATAATTTTAACTTTGATAATTTTCTCTAATGTTGTATTCTTTTTGTATTCGATGTTGTTTTTTCCTTTACTTTTACTCTGAAAAAAATGATACCAGATGTAGTCCTACTTATATCTAAATTTACTCTTTTTACTTTTGCAATTTTTATTTATATTTCAACTTTTCTTTTTTATTTACTTTCTTTACTTTCTTTATTTTTTCTTTGCATTTTTTTTATATTTCATTACTTCCATACTTACGTTTTCTTTTTTTTTCTTTTCTTTCCTTAGATTTTGTCAGAATTCATTCACTTTATGTATTTGTTTTTTTCCTTTTTATCTCTTCCATTTCTTTTCCTTCATTTTTACCAACATTCCCTTTCAATTATTCTTCGATTTGTCTTTCTGCGTCTGTTTTGTCTATTCATTACTTCTTTAACCTTTAACGGAACAACATTTTGATGGCGAAGGAAAGTCGATTACCTGTTTTGTTTTTATGTGACTTGTCAAGCCACAAGTCGCATGATCGTTTTTCCTTCTAGTTATTCAGATAAAGAGAGAATGTTAAACATGAGGTAGAGTGATTTAAAAGCGGATATTTATGCCGCTCTCGTATTCTAGCCCAGAACACAATACAATAAATGAACTGACCGCACTAAGCATTCCCTCCAAGACTTTCGCAAAGCACTGGCCCAACTCGGAAGCAACTATTTCTAACTAGTAAAGCTTATACCATTAATATTGTGACAACAACTAAAACAACTGATGTATTATTATTTGCTAAATGAACAAGTTGCCATCTATTAGGGTGAGACATAAATAAGTGTCGTTTTTCTTTATAAAAAAAAAGTTACATTTATATTTTGCTCGATTATTTATTCAATATTATTTGCAGTGACTTATTGTTACTTATCAAGCAACTCTTTGATATCGTTTAATTAATATTCTGTAGCTTTTGCTGTGAAAAGGTTTTCGACGAACACTTAAATCTGGATTTCATCAGAGAAAGATTTCTCCATCAAAGTGTTTTGAAGCGATCGTAAAAGGTAATAATAGGTTGGTGCAAGATCAGGTGAATATGACGGGTCAGATAGTAGAGATCAACCAAATTTCAATTTTTCCTGTACTATTCTTGCGGACTTGCATTGACATGGAGAAAAACATTTTCTTATTGACGAGTGTAGGGCGCTTTTCGACTAAACATTTATAGACAGGTTGCAGCTACAGGACGTATAAATGTACATTTAGAATTTTATTCTGTTTTAAGATACCTAAATGAATAATGCCCCGTCGACGTCTCCACACGCACAAAATTACATATTTCCATGGAGTGCCGGTTTTGGGGTCTGTTCTGGAGATTTATTCTCGACATTGCGATGAGCCGAGTTCAACTTCCGTTCTGATTTGTTGACTTCACTTTCGAACAAAAACCCATGAATCTATTACTCTTCCCCTCCCGCATAGATATTGAGGAAATAGTAAGGTAAACTGAACGCTTTCATTTTGGGTGACAACCAGTCTAAGAGAAAGAAATTCCATACCGTGGAAAAGGCAATCGCCAACCACTCCACCATCTTTCCCATGAAGGCATAACAAATTACGAGTAATA